ACCTCTGCTGCCATCTGTCAAACAGCAACAAAATGTAATGGAACACTGGTGGGAAGATTCAATCTCTACTGCCATACTACCAACACCTGATTCTGTCACTGAGAGCCAACATAATAAAATAGGAGGCATTATTTTTCGAGCAGGCCTCTTATCTCTTGCAGCTGACTCCGTGTCCTGGCTGTGATACCTTTTCGAACGCAACCACTAGCCAAACTAAGAGATCATATTGTAAATTTTATGAAGCTAGTGCATTGTTTCTTGTCTACAGCTGACATGTTCTCCAGATCTACAGAAAATATAGGTAGGTAAACCTGAGAAGAAAGTAGATCAACTGCCAATGCATTTTAAGGCACTCAGAAAAAAAACACTCCGTCAAGATTTCTATACAAAATGAAAGTACAAACATATTTAAAAATCTTGGTCTGTTTTTGTTCACATTTCTCTGACTCTAATCTTACATCAAAACATACAAACTGCGCTTTACTTCTCCTTGGTCTGGGCCAATCCTATTTCAAGAACACACCCCAGACCATGTAAACTCTAGGCTCACAGTCTGATTAATCTGAAATGTCTGTCCTGGTTCCAGCCCACTACACTTGTCTTTGGAGATGAATGAGAGATCACAAAGCAGGCTGCTGCCTGAGGGCTGGAATTCGGGAGCCTCGAACAGCGGTACTACTTGTTGGATATGGTTGGGTGATACACTAATGTGCCTGAGTGAGACATTACCCCTGCAGAAAAAAATTCTCTCCTCATTCTTTTCTCCACTTAGAATCATAGAATGGCTTAGGTTGCAAGGGATATTAAAAATCATTAAGCTTACACTCCCCTGCTGTGTGGGCAGGTTTGCCACGTACCAGATCAGGCGTGCCCAGGATTCCATTCCAACCTCTTACTGGGACATCTTTATTCTGTGAGGGGTAGCATCTGCTGCCAAACCAGATGCTGCCCACGAGCAGTCTAAGCACGGCTTTGCCATGACCAAAAGCAGCACAATGTTGGCAATCCAAATCCCAGTTACAAGGGAAATAGCAGAAGGAATTGCCAAGATGGACATTGCCAGCCTGCTTCAGGACTCAGCTGCATACCAGATGTAGCCCTAGAGTGCAGTGATGTGATCTCCCAGTAGGTAACATCATATGCATGGAAAGGACCCCCAGATCACCCTTCTTATTGCTCAATTAGTAGATGTCTGTGGTCTTGATCATAAGATCAAGCTCAGAGGGCACTGAAAGCCCTCTATTATTCAAAAGTTGATTGTCCCAGAAATAGGCAGGTTTAATGAACTAGCTTGGATGTGGGTAGCAAACTGACTGCAACATCACACAATTCACATGACTTCATTTATCCTTTTAAAGTCAATTTTTCCTACATAATTCCATCTCATCATTAACTGATTTTGGCTGCACATCTCCTTTCAGCTTCTTTTTACCTCTGAAATCAGGGTCAGATGCACATCTGAGACTGGGCAAACAGCTTATGCTCTCACAACCATAAAAGCAAGCTGTCATGGTAGGGATCTGAGGAGGGTGGACTGAATATCTCAGGTAAGGGGATGGAAGAGAGCGTACACATCTTTTTATAAGCCATTCAATGAAATCCAAGCACTGAGTAAATTAGTCTGCATGTACCATTCTACCTCTCTGTTCTTCTATCTGTTATGTTAATTATTGGAGAAAGATAAGAGAATGTATATGAAGAATGTCAGCAAAACCTGTTCATTACCTGCTATTAAATGGGTGTAGAGTTTAAGACAAACTTCAGGAGATACAGACACAACTCCCTGGACAGACTGCTCAGCTGCCAGAGATTCTAACTGAAAACAGCACAGACAGGCTCACTAAGCTTGCCTTCATTTGGTGATAAAGTTATTTTAAATCTCTCAAGAGATTCCATTCCACTTAAATGCAGTGTGATAAGCAACATTTAATGATACTATGAGAGCAACAGCATCTGGAAAAGTGAGTAACATATTTTTTTCCTTCCTGTTTTGAGATTTGTGGTGCTTGTGACCTTCAATAAAAAATCAGGCTTTGTAGACAAAAAAAGGGAAAGAGCAAGGCTGAGATACAGTAGGTTTCCCCGAGGAACAGAAGGAGATGAGTGCTGGCACCACTGAGCGTTACACAGCCAGTTTTGCCAGGTAAGAAGAGAAATAACTACCCAGCCATTTATGATAGAGGGAAAACAGACATGCATGGCAATCACTAGTCCTTCCTCCCATGAATTCTTAAGCAGCACTGCTCTCTCTGGTAACAGGTGAGGTACCCAAAAAACTGCAAAGAGAAAGATCCTGCTCTTCCAGAAAACACACTTTGTCTACAGACACAGGGCAATGTCCTGTAATGCCGCACTGCTGCTACTATTTCTGACAGTTACAAACTATAAACCATTTCTGTGTGATTGATTTTTGGAGCTCAGATTGGTACTGTCCATGTTCCTAGAAACTGCGTCACTGGAAGCTGGCTGGCCTCTAGATCCATTACCAACCACAGCTTCTGTCAGTGACAGCAATCAATAGCTGGGAAACACTGCTTTAGGGAAGAAAAATATCATTCTTAAGTGAATTTACTGAACGCAGACTAAAGCAGCTCTGATCAGTCAGGTAATACAGTTACCTTCTTTTTCCCTCCACCCTATTTTAAAAGCAGACTTTTATTTGCAGGGTTTTTTTTTCCACAAGTATAGCATAGGGGAACTGATTCTCTTAGGAATTTTCATTCTAAATCAAAAAAAGTCACTGAGAAACACGATGCATGTGATAAGCTGGAAGGCCACTCCATTAAATATTGTGCATGTACTTTAAAGGAACAACAGAAACCATCAGGCTCTGGTCTCAGTGGAAAACAAAACAACTGAAAAAACTAAACATATTCTCCACATCCAATAGTAAAAAATAAAATTGAGTAAAAGATCTGCAAAAAGGGACTATTTGCTCTGGCACTATCATACAGCATTAGTGTTATCAATCCCTTTTCTCCTATTCCACTGCCTAAGATTGTGTCATCCCAGAAATCTACTGACCTTTCCAAATATTTGCTGTCATGCTTCTCACCAGCTACTTTTGAATTCAAGTTATCTTTGACTTTCAATAAAAATCCTACAAGCTGCTCAAGTGTAATTTCCTTGGATTGTGGGGAGTATCTGTAAGTTAGCGAAAACTGTACATTGTGTCTTTGCAATCTGGATGTGTTCCTGGGCAGCCAGCTCTGGGTGACCCTGCTTGAGTCGGTTGGCCCGAATGACCTCCAGAGGTGCCTCCTCAGCCAACCTCACCTATTCTGTGATTCATGCAATTATTGTAATTACTGTGAACTTATCTGGATGCAAAATTTTGTTACTTAAATCAGAATAAATTCAGTCTTAGTTGGTGAAAAAAAACTTGGCCCTGTTTTAAATACCTAGTAGAAGCTGGGCAAATGTCTTGATGTCTGAGAGCAGGAGAATGCTACAGCCACAGAAAAATAATACTTTTGAAGAAGAATTAGGTCCAATTCTTTGCTTTCACTTCCCAAAGTGCTGTCATTACAAGAATTTACCAGCCCACTTTCAGGACATATAGAAAAGAAGTGAGATTAAGAAAATAAAAACACTTTTTGGCTGCATATCTAACAGGCCATACTGAAAAAGTAGTCCACAGTACCTGATAGCTGATTTCAAAGATTTGGGAAGAAATGAAAGCTCAAAGTGATGCCCAGCCTGAGAAATTGTAACGTGGATGTTGATGGTAAAGGCAGAACAAGAAGGATAAGATGTCTGCCTAGCAGTGCTGGCCAACCACAATACGCCCTCCTGGAAATGGAAATATGTTCATGAGTCATTACTGTGCTGAGAGGACCCCTGCTGACAGCCCAGTTACAGTAAAACTAAAAAGACAACAACTTAAACAAAAAACTTGGCCAGAACAGAGAATCCAAAGTCAATACCATAGCATTCAGGGCTAAATATAACCACAAAAAGGAATCACAAAAGGCAATGCCATAGGCAGCGGTAGTTCATCTATACCTCATGCTGGCGAGCCATGGAGGCTGTATGAAAGACAAGCACAAAGCAGAGACAGACAGCCAACACAACACAGTCTGAGCCATTCTCTGGATGACCGAGAAAAACCTTCAGCCGTCTACCGATATGTCAGAAGAAAACCCTGTGAGAACTGAAATACTCAAACACACAAAGCAGCAGAGATAGCAGATACAGAACTGAAAACAAAACGTCATTCTTACAGCATCCAACTAAATCTATTCGTGTTGCAAGTTGAAGAAATCCATATCAATTAATTCTATACTCCTCAGTAAGGTTAGTTTTAGGGGATGCTTCCAGCAAACAATTCCTGTTAGCCTAGGTTAATGATAAGCTTTTCTAAACAGAAGCCGTGGTACACAATCCTATCCATGTGCTTCCTTAAACAAACTCAAATTTTCTTTCCACCCTGCTGAACATTCAACATGTACTGAATTTAAGTTCTGCAATAAATCAAGGCAATTAAAAATAGTGAACATTTGCGTTTACATGAGAACAAGAATTTTGAGATAATTACTCTGAAATTTGGAAGTGGAACCAAGCAATATGTCTAATTAGCTTGAAATGTACTCCTGCTTTTTGGAGTTAGATTGGAAAGGATTTGAAGGGTTTGAATTTCAGAAAGTGTTGCTCAAATACTTAAGCTTTTACACCAGTCTTAAAGTTCAGCATGTGTCACAAACCACTGTAATAATAATGATGGTGATAATAAAACTTTGATAGCAGCCATCTGCCCATTCCAGACAGTTGAATCATTTCCAGTGCTCCCTGAGAGCCAGCACTGACATGGATTTTTATACACTATATCACAGACAGTATATGCAGGGTCTGCAGTCGAGACCTTTCTGTAATGACGTCAAAGAGGTTGTGCAGCCAGCATTTAAAATTGCTGCAGGCTTGTCCTAATGACATTAGGATATAACAAATGAGGAAAGAAGATATGTATATCAATGCTACAATAACAAGCAAGGACAGCATACTTAGCTCTGCAGGCAGCACTTAGGTTATCCTCCATGGAGCTGCTCTCTGAAGTTTGCGTCAGTGGAGGGGGTGGGGTGTGAATTCCGTGACGAAGAGGCATAACTCAGCTGGGGGACTTCTTAGTGTGAAGTCTGGAAAATTATAAAGAAAAAGTTCAGACAGAACTCGAACAAGAAGCTCTAAAGCACAGAGGCTTTAGCAAGATGGTTCGATTTTCTGCTTGCAGAGAGCCAAGTATATTGCTAAGAGTACTCTACAGGACTAAATTGAGGATTTTTTTCAAAAGCAAAAAAACCCACACACTTGAAATAAAATTATCAAACAAAATATTCAAATGGTACCCAGTCTTCTAGCAGAGGTATATAATGACTCAGTTGGCTTCAGCACTGCTGTTAACTTAAATGCATAGGTATGTGCGGCCACATCTGATCTGGAGCTTTGCTGTTATGCACAGAGAAACACAAGTGTAAGCTTTTTCTCTAGCACAGCAACCTATAAACTGTCTCTCTCCCTCATTGCACCTGGATCTGTCAGGCCTCTGGGTACACTTGCAGAAGCTTGCAGCAGGTATTCATATAAAGAGAGGCAGGAAAGCTCATTTCTTAACAGGGGACAGAGAAACAGTGAAGCATGAGTCCAGTTGTAAGTTTTACAGGAGTTCATGCACTTAAAAATCAATCAGGTCAGGTTTTGGGAAGCTTTGGTAGATGATTTTGTATTTTTAAAATCCAAATTACTAAGCAGTTGACAGTTTTCTGAGAATAAGCATATATGGATGCTGCGACAGGTGATACAATTCCAAACATACTGGATCATTAACAGTACTTGTGAAATAAGGAGTAGGTGTGTACTCAGTGCAAGCTGGTGCTCTATTCATCATACAAAATACAGTTCTTGGAATGGTACCCTTCATGACTAAGCTCTGTAAAGATTCATTTCCATGTCAATGAGACTACTACTACTTTTATAAAATATATTAATAAATATCTGTTGTTTTCTATATCTCTGAAATATCCTGATTTAGCTGTTCAAGCTAATAGCACAGTGTGAACATTTAGAGTTCCTTCATGCCCTTACTTAATTTTTTCTTTATATTTTCACTCTGCTTAACACAGTACCTGCAGCACTCCAGGTGTCTGCCTCAGAATAGCTATACAGTTTATCATAACTACATTTAGCAAAAAAATAAAAAGTTGAAGTTTTACTCCTTGTACCTTTACTTTTATCATATTTTATGGAAACCACTACAAAGACCTTACAAAAACATAATTTAATTGCTAAGTTTGGTAATATTTTCAAGCTTTGCTTGTAACTATCTAACTGCATTGCAAAAGCATGCTATTAAAAGTATTTTTTCTTTAAAGGAGCCTTCTGGGGACATTTAAAGGGTTTCAGGTCTCTACATGTGATGAGTGAAGAACAGAAGCAACACCACATGAAAGAGTCAAGTGTTTGCAGGTAACATGTCAGCATACGCTTTCACACTTTTTGTCTGTTTACTTGGTTTTAGTAGTACAACACACTCAGACAAGCAAGTCAAGAAGGCCTCAAGCCCTCAGAGACCATAATTTTCAGCAAGGAAGAAAATTTCGATTGATTTCTGAAGTAAGAAAGAATACTGGCAATTTTTATGGTATCCAACAATATTGGTGGAGGTTAATTTCACAAAGCTGTAAGAGCCAAACACAAACTAAAAGTAGCAGAATTCAGACTGAAGGTTTGAACGGACTTTAGCTCTTGTAAAAGATCTTGTAAGAAATACCCCCATAAGCTATTGGGGAAAACAATCAAGTCATGATAACAAAGCAGGTTAGCTCCTTGTAATAAGGAAAACTTTTCATATATTCTGCTCTAAACTATTTGCCTGTTGAAATCAATGTAAAATAACCTGGTTAAGTGAGAGGCATAAAAAAAAAGAAACGCTGGTAAAAATGTGTAGCTAATCATGGTGACTATGTTACAAACTGCTGGTCTGTAGCTGAGAATTTGCTCTATCAAATAGATTATCCAACACTATCAAATACTGTTATTGTGCTCTTCGTATCTGATGAAGTTTCCATGGAAATAAACAGAAGGCAGTACTTTCAGCACAAACTCTTTGCATTTTTTAATGTAGTACACTTTCATGAAATTTCAATATTGGTTAAAATAATCAATCATAGAGTGCTTCCATTGATATATTTCTTTCAGACACGTAAGTAGACAAGGTCTTCAGAGATAAGTATTACTGTCTGAAAAGCTATGCTTGACAACTGTTCAATGCATACCCAATGGAAGTTTCTAAAATATCCTCCTTTTTTAGTGAGGGAAGAACTAAGAAAGATTTAAGCCCTCATCAAGCCCTGGATGCTGATGAAAAAGTAAAAGTGCAATAGTGCAGTCAGTAGAAAAGAAAGGCTAGGTTGACCTGGGATCCTGTAGTTTAAGGCCTGAACATACGGTATGGCTATGAAACACAGTCTGAAACAGACATGGACTCCTAAAATCATAGGGCTGCCTGCACAGCATGTCCGAAATGGCAGGAACAGTGAGATACTCCCTGTAAGGTGTTCTATTGCACAGCATACCAGGCATCTCATCTGCATGAGGCCAGGGCATGCAATAATCTAACAATGGCATGTTTGGCATACGTTTAGTGCAAGGAATAAGACTTTGGCCTTATTATCTGATCATTTTGTTGCCTAGCATAACTGCAGAATTCTGAAGCAACTAGGGAAAGATTCATGCAATGTATATCCCAAACAGAAAAATCAGGGAACACATGGAAAACAGCTGAGGATCAACAGTGTGTGTGCTCAGTGCCACCTCCACATTAAGTCTGGGGACAGAAATGTATCTGGCCATAACACAAAACAGATAGTCTCTGGTTACAGTGTTTGTTCTGAACCTCTTCCAACCACTCACTGAACTCCATAAAGTGGCAGAAATATTTAACAAATGCTTCCATGATGATACTTCTACCACTTATCTTTGGAAAAGGCTCACTTGATATTGGTCTCCAAGGACAGAGATAACTCAGCAACTGCAGTACAAAGGACTCGGCCAACTACTTGACTGCTGAACTCAACATTTTATTGTCAGTTTTCCCAGATGTTCACACAGCGTGTCTGAAACTTTTTCGATCCCAACTGCCAAACATTTTTTCTTGAAAGGAAGAGAGAAAGGAACTTAGGAGATTACAAATTCAGTACATAAAAGACATTTAAGTAGAAATATAAATACACAAATTGCATGGTACTTTTTTTCTGGGCTAAGAAACATCAAAAACCTGTATCACAAATCTCAGTGGTTGATTACAACCTACTATGTTGATGTTGCATTCCTACTCTTAGTTTATTCTTCTGAAATACCCTAGATTCATTGCATGAAAGCCAATGACTGTCTTGAGGGATGTAACAGACTGGAAATACAGGGCAAATATTTGTTTCAGAATTTCCAGAGGAAAAAAAAAATAAAAAAAAAATCAGGTCTTTGGAATAACTAGTCAAAACTAAATCCTGTAAGACTTCTGTATTAGAGGTCAATTTTCCAGGTTGGAAAGAATGAGTGGATGTTTGGCTGCTTCTATCTTTGAACTTTCACACCTCACACTGTTCATATAGACATAAAACCTCATAAATCCAAAGCCTACTAACAAGAGAGTGGAAAAATGGCTGCAGACCTTCAGAACTGATCTATTCAACTATTACCTCAGGGATACTTTGAGAAACATGTATAAATTTTTAGAAAATTTGAATCAAGACATAATTTTCATAGCAAAAGATCTCTCTAAACAGAATTTTCCTAAACATTCATTATATCAGTGTTCTTCTATTTTTTTTTTCTGCTCATTTAAGATTTTGATTTGTCTTTTGGAATCCAATACCTGCTAGGATTAATTCCATTTAAAAAAAAAAAAAGAATTCTAAAAACATGGATAGTGTATAGAGATGGGATTGCTCAGACTACCTTGTTCAGCACAAGACAAGCAGGTTTTTATTACTTTTAGTACGTTCAGAAAAAAAAACCAACAACCCACGGTATTTTTTAAAGCTTCTGATGAAAATGGAAGCCTATTTCAGTTCCAGGAACTCTTTTTTTATATTCCACTATCCAGGGAAATAATAAATACCAAAATTCAACTGCTATTTGACGGAGTAATTGCAGTTATAAGACAAGCAATTATTTAGGATCTTACATAGCACTCTTTGCATGCCACAGCATTTTTCCAGCATAAAACAACAGTCAAACTTCTCTTTTTGTTCATATGCTCTCAACTAAAAAAAAAAAAAATACAATAATAACATTTTCTTTCAATTTTCTATCAACAGCACGTAAATGGCACAGCTTAGTCTGTATGCTGAACTTCAGTGCCAGGATCCAAAACAGAAGAAATGATTACAGTCTTACTACTTCTTTTTTTCATTTCCCACTTTCTTCTCACTTCTCTGACCATAAATAACTTACTGCTGCATTATCCTCCCATTCTCACTGAAAGTCATTGATTTAAAGGATGTTAAATGAGGTTAAAAAAAAAAACAGCTCAAAGTGCTTTTAGACATACAAAATGCAGGACAGAATTCAGTGCACGCAAACAAAACCAAGCTTCTGAAAGCTTACATATCTCTGAAAGACTGGACACTTTTAGCTCCTCGGCAGCTAAACCTGAATAAATTGCATACACAAAACTGTTGGAGCACAGTGGGAAAACATCACAATGTTTAATTTTAGGCACCTAATCTAAGGGTAGTCACTGGAGCCTCCAGTGCTAACTCTGAAAACTAAGTTCTGATTTTGTAGATGTTACAAGATGGTACAAGATGTAATTTTGTAGATTAAATTCAGGTAATATCCTACACTACTATGACAATATGGTCTCTCTTTCATTCAGAGTAGTCTCTCTATCATCAGAATCCAGAACATGGTGTATATTAACATCTTCCAGCAGAGATTTCTTGCCAAGACACAGTGCTTTGCAATACCAGCTCTCAGACAAATCAGCTGAACATCTATCTGACTACTAGAATGCACAGGCATTATTCAGTGGCAGGCTTTAAAAGAAATTCGCATGAGAATTTAAAAAAAAAAAACAGTTCCCATTCTCAGCTGAACAAAGATACAGAAGATGTACATCATCATCATAACTACATAGTGAGGGAGAAATAAAGGGCTGGGAAAACATGACTGTTTCACACGAAAAACTGTGTGTCTTTAACCTTGTGCTTAAAAATGAACCAGATAGAGAGAAAACACTGGCTGGGTTCTGAAGAGAAGACAAAAAGGCAGCTGTCCTTGGCTTCTCTGTTGCACACCATGGAGCTGCTGTGGGAAAGACGTGCAATACGACAGCATGTGCAATCAGAGCAAAGGCACAAAGACAATCTTACCAAGATATTCTGGTCCAGCTGGAGCTGTGAATGCTGGGGGTCACAGCTCAAGAAAGAGGTCATCCAAGTGAAAAGGATCTGGACAGAGCAGCAAATTTAAATATACATGAAGAAATTATAGCATTTGAGAGTAGGCTGAAGAAAATCGGGCTGTTTTACCTACAGTATAAAAAAAAATAAAGAGAGAGCACACAACAGAAATCTTCTGTTTTAGAAAAAGTTGTGAAAAGGAGGAGAATAACATTTTTCTTCATGGTTAAGACTGATGAATTTGAACGGGTGGAAAAAAAAAAAGGGAAAAATTATAAAGTAGCATATTTAGAGAATTCCCATCTATGGAGGTTTTGGAGGTTTTAGAAAATTATTTAGACAAATTGAAAAGAGACAACTGAAGGCAAGATGCATCCTTTGAGTCATTAGACATTTTAGATCTCTTTCCTTTTTTTTTTTTCTTTTTTTTTTTAAGACCCTGTGCTTTTAAAACTTAATATCTAAAGGCAGTATCTGAACTATAAGGAGAAGGTGTGTGAGATAAGGTTGACACCAGATTTTTCCCTCTTATACTACTCACAAAATAGGACAGTGCCACAAAATTGTTTTCTTATGTAACCTCCTTTAATCACTGGTTTGTAGCTGTCAGCACTGGACTGACTGAATGAAACTGAATCTCTTAGGGCTCATTGTTTAGGGCTATTTTCCAGTACTGGAATATATTAAATACCAGTAGAAGAATTCATTTATCTTATCAAAGTCAATCTGCAACTCCTCTTCATTTCTAGGAGTGTTTTAAAAAAATAAATAAATTCAAACTTATTGCTCCATATTGTGATAAAATCCAGGCACATACCAAATACTTCTCAAAACCTTTATTCTTAGGAAAAGAAGAGAGGACCAGAGTGGATATATAGCATGTTCCAGTCAGTCTGACGGATCACTGGATAAGGACTTCAGGGCATGCCAAAAACTACTTCTGGGCTTCAGCAAGGATATATGGCCAACCTTTAGTAATACATCAGATGGATGGCAGGCTTGGCATTCAAATGGTGTTTCTGAACATATACACCTCTTATCACCTCCAGTGAGACAGCGGCAAAAATGCACACACATATTTTGAATCTTTTTAATACAAAACCCATTTGTAGCACACATTGACTTACCAATATTTAGAAATTTTTATTTTTTTTCTTTGGTTTATGATTTTTCATGTCTTACCCACCATAGGTAAGATTTTATTTGTAACATACATGAGTTACTGTAGGCAGACAAGAAGGTGTTATAAATATCCTTCATTGAAGGAAACTTTGCATCATGCATTTTGAAAGGAAAAATGGTAAAAAGCTAAATCTATTTTCATTTGCTCCTATAAAGTCTAAAAGATTTCAGGGGGCTTCTTTCTTGGTGAACTTTCTGGCTTTATTTTTCCTCTCTTGCTTTCATCTACTCCAAATTCTAAAGTCTTTAAATAAGTGAACAAGTATCTTATAGCCAGAAGGAAAAAAAAAAGTTACCAACTTGGCTCATGTTTGCAAAGTCAACAGGGATTTTCTAGTATTTTCTGAAGACACACAGGCTTGTTATGGCAAGGATACATAAAAGAGACTTCCAGCATGGCATTACTAAGATGAACAAATCATGTATTAATTTTCAAAATATTTCAGAATTAGAGTTTAGTCAAATGAAAAAAAAGGATTAAGAGATTTGTTGTCTGCATGCTGTTTCCTACATAGGACCAAAATTACTATTTTTTTTCCCCCCATCACAAGAAATTACCAATATAAAATATCCCTCTTAAAAAGAACATAATTTAACTAGAAATAATTTTAAGTAGTTGCATTGTGGTTTTGATTAAGGTGAACTGATGCAATAAAGATAAATTGCTGATTCCTGGGTTTGAATTATCAAGAGTGAAACTAAGAGGACTTTCCTTGTATAGAGCCAATATTAATTATTGGCAGTTAATGGCAGAATTATAGGTCATTTTCTTTTTATATAAAACTTTATTAAATGAACCAAACCGTATGCACCATGTCATAATGGGAAACATCAATAAACTCTTACAGAAATTTTTATTACATTTATATGGTGAAGCTTGTTGTAAGAGTTCATGTTCTTCAGCTTAGATACAGCTGCACAGCATTCAATAGTTTTGCCTGGTTTTGTTAATATGTCAAAAAGAAGAGACCATTTTGCTTTAACATTTTATAGAAAGTTTATACTTTAAATATTCTATGTCAAAACTAATTTACGAAGCTAAGATCAGAGGAGGAAGTTTAGTTCATGCTAGGAACAGAAGCTAACACTTAGTAAGAAGTCAGTATGGGGTCACTGACAATAGACAGAGAAGTTTCAGAAACAACAAATTCTCTTGTCATTAGCCTAGGCCACCGAAGTAATCCAGTTCTTCCCTTCTCTCCCCCAAACACTGACAAAAGAACCTTGGGGCTTGAGTAGGTTGAGCAAACAAAGAAAAGAAGGTGAATGGAGAAGCACCTGTAAAGAGTTTCCAGCAATTTTGAGTAGAAACATTCTGCCCCTGAGAGGAAACAGTCACATCCATCACACCTGTGATCCCACCACATCTATTCCTTATGGGAGTCTCAGCAAATAACATCCCTATATAAGCAATTAAATCCTAGAAGGCGAGTGTAACCTATTTTTTTTTTCAGTTGGGACCTAAACAGCAAGAAATAATAGTCTTGCCATCTTAGTCTTACATTACATGCTATTCACACCTCCTTGTCACCTAGATTCTGACTACCCTGCCTTCTGACTGCCCTGCCTTATCTTTCTTGTTCCAGATTTGTTTATGCATACATTTCTCTTTCAGTTGATATTATAACTGAGTTATCAGAGTGTTTTCATACCATAACTCTGTTTCTTGTAAGTTTTCTCTTTCCCTATTGTGCTTGAGAAAAATGACACAAATTGAAGCAGTCAACAGCAAGAGAAAATGACCTTTGGAATATCACTAACGTGAGATAAATGAAAAAAAAAAAAAAAAAAACCAACCATGAAGATGCCCTCATGTATCTCCCAGGTTGCTGCTGTAGCAGTAGAGAGAGGCAAAACTGAAATAGTTCACAAATTTTTTGTGCATCAAAATAAAACACTGGTGTGCACAAAAAGGACATCAAAAGTGACACTAGTTTTATTATCTCCTTTTGTCCATATGTGAAATGACTTACCTCTACAGATGATTTAATCAACCACCGATGTTTCCTCTTTTTTTGGTGTGATTTTCCTACATATTGCTTGACAATTTGGAAGTCAAGGAATAAAGGAACTTAATTTGGTCCAGCATCACCGATTTTTGCAATTACAGACTTTTCTGCTCTGCAAATACAAATGACATAAAATGACAGAGATGAATTCACAGCTAGTTTTTATCTGTTTCATGATTTTCACATAGAAGCCTGTTTGCTTTACTAGTCTTAAGTTGGATGTGAGACAGTTACCTCAGGTTGCACTACAGGAGGTTTAGATTGGATATCAGCAAGAAATCATTCATAGGAAGAGTGGCTAGGCATTGGAACAGGCTGCCCAGGTGTTGCAGTTGCCATCCTGGAGGTATTTAAGAGACATGTGGACGTGGCACTTAGGAAAATGAAGGACTTGATGCATTATGTGGGCGTTTGAACTTGATAATCTTAAATATCTTTTCCAAACTAGATGATTCTATGATTCACCTCTAAGTGATCCATTTGTTCTGACTGTTTCCCTGGAAAAGATAGGCAGTGACATCATAACAGTTCAAATCAGGTTGCTTTTGGGAAAGTCCTTGAACTTACTATAACTGCAGGCAATTCTGATGTCAAATAAAATGTATTCAGTAACTGTGATCTGCAAAAAGCCAGCAGAGACTGTTTAAATGAATGTTTGTGATGAGAATAAAAATCAGTTCATGCTATTTTGTATAGGACAAGAAACTCTCTTTTTACAGAAGAAGAGGCCAGGAATTTGAATCTTAAATTTATCCTATGGAAACTCTATGGTTATTGGTGACTGACACATTCAATTGTGACCATAGTGATAGTAATTTCATATCATCATATGCAACTTCTTGTCAACATTTTTTAGTGCAATCTGAATTTGCTTCAAATAATGTAGCTAAAAATCCAAATAAGATGTTGATTTCCTGTAGGAACAAGAACATTCCAACATATCTACAAGAAGAAGCTTTTCTTCATAACAAATCACATTGCTGAATTTAAAATTATTTCAACTCCAATTACTCTGTTGGCCAACCTCTTCCTCCCCACCCAGCCAAGGATTCATGCCAACATCTAGATAGATCCTTGGCAGACATTTTCATGACATGGTTGGCTTGAAAAGGCACGGGAGGAATTCCAGCACTGAAAATTCAGCTGCAGGTGGAAAAGCACAATCTGGCATATGCAATGGCAGTCATCACTACACATTGGCATTTATAATATATTTTTCTGGCTCAAAAAAATGTGTGATCATAAGCACTTTGTGTAGCATTCAATTACTGTATACAAGCAACTCTGTCACTGCATACACAGCAGTACGATTGAATCGTTGGCTTACCTTTGAAATACATCCTTAAAAGTCACTTAATCAGTTTGTATTTTGTTCAGTTGATGTCATCATTCCTGAACAGGAAGGAAAAGGTGCTTCAAATCCATCTCTGAACAAATGGCTGAGAACAGTAGCACAATCTCAATAAAATGCATAGCTAATAGTCAGCAGCATCCTCTGTTCATTGTAGTGGATGAGTGCAGACCTGGACTGCAATTGCCTGATACATTTGAAGGTCTTCATATGCAGGCCAATCGCTCTCTAAGCATCTCCCCTGCCAACAGGCAGTAAGACATTTTAATGATTAGTGACTTCTACAAAACAAAGGTGTTGTTGTAGCAATTAGAGCAACTCTGGAAACATCTGAGATCTTTATTTGAATTTTGGTTCAGAGGCACCATCAATAGCCCTTTCTAAAACTGTATAAGCGTGAGGGGACCTCCAGAGTTGATCTAGCCTCTGAAAACCTACCAGGTATAGTCATGGCAGTGGCTTCCTATTTCTAGAGCTCATTCACACTTGGCATAACCTGGAAACCCAGCACTGAGTGCAAGCAGGCAACAGTAAATGAGCCTGTCTTAGCAGTAACGTGACAGAAATCACAAGGTAGAGAGTCTTACTGTTATAATTTGACTGCTGTAAGGGGTGGAAAATTCCAGATGAGATCTTTGTAAAATGGAGTACAGAATCTCTTGTGGGGCATAATGCTGCCTTCCCAGGAAGCCCATCCAGACTGCAGGTCAATGGTGCTCTCTTATTCTCAGTGATGTCTTCCTAAGCCTTTGACTCCTTTATCAAGTTTGCAAGTTAGCTGAGTGTCTCGCAGGAACAACAGTAATTCTATTTCATGCATATCGTTCTGCAGTGGAAAACAATAAAAACAGTTAATTGCTCTGAGAAAAAGAAAAAAAAGAAAGAAAGAAAGAAAGAAAAAAGAAAAAAAAAAGAAAAAGACAAAGTACAAAAAAAGAAAAGGAAAAAAAAAAAAAAAAAGTATTTCTGGAAGAGTAAAACGCTACTTTGTGTCAAACGTTAATGACCCTGGGTTTGTGGTTCCTCACCAAAAACAGACCAGAAACCCAGCTGATGTAGAAATTGGTGACACAAGGCCACACAGGCTAGAGACCAAAGCCACTTGGTAGATGAAGGTCTAGAACCAAAATTCAAGCCTGCTTCATAAAAGTTTAGCAAAATGGGAGATTACATTGAGGAAATAACTTCCCAGATTGCCTCCCATTCTCTTTAACAATAAGATATTTAGGACAGAAGACACCACAGCAGAACTGCCCTTGATTGGTCCTGAAATGCTACCATAATATTACTACTACTGTTGTTGTTATTAATATTAGAGTTTTCAGAGGAATAGGAGCGATTATTTTCATGCCATTTTGGAAATAGGAAGAAGATAAAAACAGATCTTATCTGAAATGCTGACAATTAAACATAATGCTCACCATGCTTAACTTAATAAACTGGAGAACTTAAATAAGCCTATGCTAACTAATGCTAATTTATTACTAAAGGAAAATTGAGTTAGAAATGAACAATTTTCAAGCCTTATTAGAATCTCAGTTCTTAAAAAGTCTTCCAAAATTGAAATAACTTCTTTTTCACTACGAAACAAAGAATTTGCTTCCACAACAGGACAAGTTATTTTCACCTTTAAATGAAAGCACCAACACTTAGAAATGACTCAGCAAGGAAGCATATTCTCCAATATCAAGAGCAATCCAAGCGAAGATCCTTAGTATCATTTAGAACCATAATTAAAAGAAATTGGGTATGACACATAACAACGTTATTTTTGTTCACATTCATCTTCATCTGGTAAAAAAAAAAATGGCAATGGTTAGTTAGTGATATTATTCTCTCCTCCCAGGAAACATGGACCTTATTTTCCTACAACGAGACAGGGGCCAAGAAGTAGGTAGCAGTTTCAGGACAAAAAAAATACTACATTATTTGCCCCAGGCTGGGTTATATATATGTATATATATATATATATTTGATTCACTGTAAATTACACTGCTCAGACACCCCATCCATACAAAGAGATGAAACTAAGAAAGTCATTTTAACAGGGCAAAACCAGAACTCCAGATACAAATTCCTCCACATTATTCAGACTCCAGCCATTGAATCATAAACCACATTCATGGTTTTGGCCCTGGATCCTAAGCAAACATTGTAGAGGCACCTCTTCCAGAGAGGTTCAGCTAAGCCAAAATCTTTATGGGACAGTTTGTCACTTTCCCAAGATGGAGATCAGAGATCAAACTTTCACAAAGCAGCAGCTGATCTGTATTGCTACAGGTGAGGACTGTTCCAAGAAAATGAGCAGAAGGGACAGCATTACAATTTTGATGTGAATTCTCATCAAGAAGTTTATCAAATCCTTTGAATCTCATTAATCAGAAGCTGAGTCCTGTACCTGACTTGTGCACCAAACTCAAATTCTGACCTGTGTCTGATGTAGATCTCAACACTGCCTTTCAAACTTATCTTTATGCAAACCACTCATTTTCTGTGAGAGCACAGACTGTTTTTTCTTTCTCTTGCACATAAAGAAACATATAAGAAGAAATGTGCCCTGGCTATAAATAGAATTCCTTAATTGCCTAACCTGCTTCAATTAATTCATTATACAATTACAGCTGCCAGTTCTTCACCGTGAAGAATCCTTGTAAACTGCTTCTCCAGAACTATGATTTAAACAACACAAAATTAAGAATTTCTAAATACAGCAAAACACAAACAATTATAATCAACACTGTCAAATTCTAATTTGACAGTAGGCATAATTAACAACGTAGGAAATTACCCCTATGATAATGTTCAATAGGAAGTAACGACATCTTCAGTATCTTGTACTCAGTATTGTCTGCAGTCACAAAATTCCTATGTTTAAGTACCTAGCACAAATGCTGAAGGTTCAGCACTCATGATTTTTGGGGGGTATCCCAGGTTTTTATGGTATTAGGTTCCTGCAAGCAAAAGACTCTTTGCCTAACATATTCCTCCCTTAGAGAGTATGAGACGATTCAGAACATGTGGCTAAGTCTTAGGCACACAGTGAAGAGAGCCAATGGCACAACATAGATCTTTGTTTCTAGTCTCTTCTCTCAATGTCTGGTATGGAAGAGAGATTATGGAAGAGACTGCTATGCCTGGGAAGATCATGGACCAGATCCTCTTAGAAGTTATGTTAAGGCACATATAAGGCAGAGAAGTGATTCAAGACAGCCAGCATGGTTTCACCACTGGTAAAAGTTGCCTGACTAATTTGGTGGCCCCCTGTGATGTGGTGACGGTATTGGTGGACAGGGGAAGGGCAACAAATATAATCTACCTGGACTTCTGCAAAGCCTTTGACATGGTCCCTCACTACATCCTTCTCTCTAATTTGGAGAGGTAAAGATTTGAAAGATGGACTGTTCGATGGATTAAAGAATTGGTTGGCTGGTTGCAGCTGAAGTGTTGTGATCAAGTGTTCTGAGTCAGGGTGGAGGCCAGTCAAGAGTGGTGTCCCCCCAGCGGTTGGTCTTAGGACCAGTGCTCTTCAGCATCTTTATTAATGACACAGAGAATGGAATCAAGTGCACCCTCAGCAAGTTTGCACATGACACCAAGCTGAGTGGTGCAGTCAATACACTGGAGAGAAGGGAAGCCATCCAGAGGGACCTAGACTGGCTGGAAAAGTGAACCTAATGAGGTTCAGTAAGGCCAAGTGCAAGGTGCTACATTCAGGTCAGGGCAATCCCAGGTATTTATACAAACTGGGGGAAGATCTCCTTGAGAGCAGCCCTGCTGAAAAGGACACGGGGGTCCTGGTTACAAGAAGAAGCTGGACACGAGGCAGCATAACTATATCCTGGGCTGCATTAAAAAAGGGGTGGCCAGCAGGGATAGGAAGGTGATTGTCCCCCTCTACTCTTGTGAGGCCCCATCTGCAGTACTGCATCCAGGCCTGGGGCCCCCAGTACAGGAAGGATGTGGAGCTCGTGGAGTGGGTCCAGAGGAGGGCCACTAAGATGATCAGGGCGCTGGAGCACTTCTCCTATGAAGAAAGGTTGAGGGAACTGGGATTGTTTAGCTTGGAGAAAAGAAGGCTCCAAGGAGATCTCATTGTGGCCTTCCAATACTTGAAGGGAGCATGTGAACAAGAAGGGGAATGGCTGTTTACGAGGGTAGGTGGTGATAGGACAAGGGAAAATGGTTTTACACTAAGATGGGAGGTTTGGTTAGATATTAGGAGGAAGTTTTTCACAGAGAGGGTGGTGACGCAGTGGAACAGGTTGCCCAAGGAGGCTGTGGATGCCCCAGCCCTGGAGGCATTCAAGGCCAGGCTGGATGTGGCTCTGGGCAGCCTGGTCTGGTGGTTGGTGACCCTGCACATAGCAGGGGGGTTGAAACTGGATGATCTTTAGGATCCTTTTCAATCCAGGCCAATTTGTGATTCTATGATTAATTCAGATACGCTCTTGAAGTTTTGACAAATTTTCTGTTTAGCATCAGAAGGTGATTTTTCTTTTTAATCTTGAAAGTTTTTCTCAGTTTTGGCTTTATTTCTGACAGAATGGCTAATTTTTTGTCACTCTCCCCTAGGATACAGTCAATCAAACTTACCTTATTACAGGAGCTTAATGAATGACAGCATCTCAGCCTAGCTTGGTAAACAATGCAATTGATTTTCAGGGACAGATAGTCTCTCCTGTCTTGTTATAATCTTAGCTGTCCTTGTTAGCTTGTCCTTGCCCTCAACAGTGGGTCAGAGGGCCTATTTAGACTGGGAAATGAAACACAAGGGAACTGTAAAGTTAACTGACTCTGCAAGTAATTGATATTTTTGTAGTTTGTGGGATATTTTAAAGAAAAACTGAACAAGATGAAAAATTACATTAGGCCATTCAATGAAGATTGAAGAAGAGCAGTACTCACATCTGATGTGCAACATTTACAATCATCACTGCTTCGCAGAGTTGACAATGTGACGGAGAAAATCAGACCCACTTCAGAAGTCTGGTGAGAGTGCAAAAAGAGAAAAATTTTTCAGTTTCATAAAATACATAGGAATTATTATCATGCTCCACTTTAAAAATCACTGATAATAATATTGCTTTACACTGGACTTCATAATATTGCTTTACACTTGTACTCTGGCTTAAAAAACATTAACAAACATCTTTAGAATGAAACATTGGCCCTATTAAAGTTAACTGAAGTTCAGACACTCAGCTTAAAAAAGCCAGTGTTCATATTTATAATATTCTCATTTTCTATTATTGAGCATTCTCTTTCATAATTTTCCATTTAGAAAGCCATCTTTGGATAACAAAGCAAACATGCCACAGATACAGAAATCTGACAAGGAATGAGCCTCTATTTCTGAAAGCATTCCAGACCACTGGATTTTCATTAATTAGTATTTCTCAGAAAGTTACTGATTAGCCTTCCAGCTGTTTCTAACACTTCAGTCTGAAACAGCCCAATAAAAACAAAATCAACCTTTTACATTTTTAAATCTAATAACTTTTAACTCCTAGCTTTTTGTATAGGCGAAGCTGACCAGAAATAAACCAGACAGAAAATAAGTAAGGAAAAAAAAGACAAAGCAAAGAGGAAAAACTTCAGAAACTACCAGATGAGAAAAAGCAAGATAAAAATTGAAATTGCTGCTAAACTTTGCCCATCACTTCGTAACAGAGGCCTGTTTTTCACTTGCATTCCTAATTCTTCTAGGGTTTGAAATACTGTCAGACACTTCCGTATATATAAGTGCTTCTGGTATCCTCAGTATTGCTACTGCAGATAAATTATAACATACAATCCAAAAGGTATGTTAGATTCAGGATAATTCACTGGTGAGTAGGCATGCATTTCTGTGAGAACTAATGTAGTAAAACAGAACACAGAACTTGTAAAATAACATGATATTACATCACTCTCATAAAATGAAATCTCTACATTAATTTTACTTGCAATATTATTTTACATAAGGGATGAGGAAAAGATGCATTAGAAGACTGCTTATTTTATGGTCCAAATGTAAGGCCCATTTCCCTGGCTTTTTCTTCACTAATAAATACATAGCAACATGCATATTTAAAATAACAAATTAACAGGACACTTCACTGCACACACTTATATCCCTAGGGAGAAGATGAGAGAACAAACAATATGTGACAGATGTTAATCACATAGCTTAATGCACTATCGGAAATGGGTCAGAGATAACAGTGAAGAGCACCCCATTGAAATCATCAGAACAGAATTAGAATAAATTATAAATACCTATAATCAAATTGAAATACGAATAATGAATTTGTTTTGAAACAAAACAGTATCTGTTATATGTTTTCAACATGGGTGTTCTGTGGAAGGTAGCCTCTCTTAACTGAAATCAGAATCAATATTCAGCTTTGGAGATAGCAATTAAGCAGACAGTTAGTATATGGAGATGTGGTTATAATCAATCAGGCAAAGCGAATAAGAGCTTAACTGATGCTCTTAACTGTATTTTTTCTTAAAAACGCCTTCTGACCATTTTCATAAAAACACTGAACAAATTAGGTTTCCAAAGACCAGAATTCATCTTCAGTTACTACAAAAGGCTTGATGAGCAGCACTGAAATCCCTTGCTGAGGTATTAGCAATGAATAGTAGAGAAGATGGAAAGGATGGTGCATTTATATCATGTGATTTTGGTCTCAGTAATATTCTGGACAGCTCATTTTATTGTTATCCATCTCATCTCTAGCACTACACCTACTACATCTATAACTGGGACTGTAGTTCCTTTAATTCACTAAAATTTTCATTTGTTAGCAATCTTAGCTAAAGCAAAGTTCAAGTTCCCTGTAAAAGAGTGGATAAAAATTTCTTCCCCTTCATCCATTTTCATTGTCTCTTTTAAATATAAATGAACTTGACAATAACTACTTCAAAGTATTAAACTAATGCCTAGGATAATATGAACATTACTTTGACTGGAGATCCCATTCACTCAAGTAGAAATTAGAAATAACAACAACAAGGCCTTCTGGAAGAGTTCTCCCTTCTGTAATCTGTCCTAAAATGAAGGGATTTTTCAATTTAGAATGATATTTTATCCTACATCTCCGTAGAAACAGGGAAAAAAAGCATAATATTGACAAATCATTGGCTTTTTAATTTTAGTTTGGCTGCAAATTCTCATGGAGTGTACAACAGTAACACCAGAAGACAGAGATAAGTGAACAAAGTTATGCATGAAGCACAACTTGACCAGCAAACATCACAATAGATCCAAGCATCTTTAAAAAATAGCTATACACACACACACAAACCCTTCTAATTGCAAGATGATTAAAAAAAAAAAAAAAAAGCAATCATATTTAACACTTGAGGATCCCTACGTTGAATATGATGCCTTAGAGGCTGTGCCACTAGATCTAAGCAGAGTGGTGTAATCACATACCTTTGACTTGCTGTTAGATCTCACAAATGCAGCTCAGTTAGTTTTCATTGCAGCAGTGGTTTCTTGCTGACACAAAATCACAGAATAGCGGATTCTGGAGTCTCCAGGCATCATCTGGTTCAGCTTAAAACAGGGCTACCTAGAGTATTTTGTAGTAGAGTAGTAGTTTATTCATTTGGAGTCAGGTTTTAAATATATCCAAAGATAGAGATTCTGCAGCCTCCCCGGGCAGCCTGTTCCAGTGCTTGACCAGACCCACTATAAAAGAGTTTCATATTTGTGTCCAAGCGAACAACCAGACGCTTTTCAGCAAGGGTGTTTTCCAGCCACTTTCTAGCCTGTGCTGTTGCATGTGTTCTTACTATTCAACACACAGCATTTTTGTTTGTTGAGTTTCAGGCGTTCTGTGCTGGCCCATAATTCCAGCTCATCTACATCCTTCTGAACAGCAGCATTCTTCCCTTCCAATTTGTATTATGCCTCTCTTTCATATGGTGCTATCCAAGAAGTTGCTGAGACAATGACATACCATGCAGCTAGTTGATGGAGAAGTTGAACAGAAACACCCTAGTATCAGGTGCTAGGAAAAGCCATTCCTAACTGTCCGTTCTGCAAACTTTGAGACTCTGACCACTTCCTGCAGATTCTGGTAGCCTTGGGATTTTCCTTTCTGAGATAATTTTTTTACAGGTTCATTGACAAACAGACGAAACATAGGTGGGTTGCTCCAAAAGATTAAGTAATCATGTTATTTTATTGTTTACCCTATTGCAAAGTAAGCTCAGACGAGTTTGAATGAATGAATGTGAAGAGACAGCTGCTTTCCCCAGCACAGCCTATGTCCTGAAGAAATAGGGCTGCAGGCATTCCCTAAGTACTGTCAAGAGAAATGCTGTTCAGCTATTTCCTCTTCCCTGATTCAACTTGGGGGGAATAGAACAACTAAGCAAAAAAGATGCTGAGAAGAAAAAAAAAAACATTTTTTTTTCTAATCTTCGCTATCACCACGCAAGAGGAAGGTCAAGAGCACTGGACAGTAGCATGAAGAAAATTTTTGTTTTCACTTATGAAGAAGCTTGGGGAGAAGATATCTGCTGGCCTTCCCCAGTCTAAACTGAAAGCAACAGATTTCAGTTTTAAGTCTTAGTAGAGCTGAGTGAGGTGGGATCCTCAGCAGAGTCTGCCATAGGGAGGAGAGGGAAGGGACTGTTCCACAAATGCACTTACTCTGCTAGCAGAGCTTCCACATGAGAGTAGCCTAGCATAAATGGCCCCAAATCCTTTGTCACATGCCTCTTAAGTTCTAAAATAACACCTTGAAAGGGTATCTTGTACATTCAAGACTTTATGCTTCATAGTTTGAATTCACGGATTGAACAGATACGGAAGAGGAAAGCTTCGTTTTAAAACTAACTGAGCTCTACTGTCATTATAGGGTTAAGCACAACTGCATAGCTATTTATATCATTTAAATCTTTGGTGTCTTTCATTTTGCATCAGAGTTTTGGAGTAGATTAAAACTACTCATATTTGTCCTGGTAACTCTTGAGAAAAATGTCAAAACAAAATGTGCTGGAATTCAAGAGGGATATAAATATACAGTGGGATGAGATGGGTGATCTTGAACTTCAACTATCATATGTCAAAAGTTATTTTCTAGCGAGTCTGAAATATATGCTACTTCTCCACTTTTAAGACCAGGATTGGAGTGAGGAAGATGTTAGAGTACAGGAATAGCCAAAGTTATTTAATTGCAGAACGTTTTGGGGTTCATACAGGCAAAGCATGCACTCGCTAGCAGTAAGCCTGAACCCAAAGCCTCAGACGCTAACAAGGCCAGATTCTGGAGGGCTGGTATGAAATTTAAAACAAATTTTGTATCCAAGCATAGCACTGACACTGTGGACTTCAAAGAAAAATTTTTAGTGTTTAATCTTCCAAGTCCCTCATCCGCCAGAATCAGTGTGGATGCAAGCTGCCAATCTTAGTCAAGTGCCAATCTTAGCAGTCGTGGGTTATTAAATTACAATAGTTAAAAGCTTCAAATATTATTTTTCTCTCTTGAGGTTATATCAAAAGGTGCTTTGAATATTTGGGCTGGCACTCAATTTTTCTTCTTTACCCACACACCTAAGTGGATACGAGAGAGAACTCAGCTTACATTCAAACTTCACTGAATAAAAATCCCTGAAGAGACTCTCACTGGCTCTAACATTTTGAATTACCTTATAAGAGAAGCAGAACCACATCCCTCTTGTAATAAAGCACATTCTCATAGTTTTGTCAGAGTAACCCCATAAACAATAATTGTATTTTTCACAAAATCCAAAAGAAAGTCTTGTGGGAGATTAATTGTTCTTATAAACACAGTAGTTGAGTGATTTCAAGGAAGGAGACACAGCGGTAAGAGAAATATTCTGGAGAAGAAGGTGATAACCTCATTCCTTACCTAAATTAAAGCATAAAAAAAGAATCACTCAAGAAGAAATAACATTTTCACTACACTATTCAAAAATTTCAACCAATAAAGTCAGTATGTCTGTCTTTTTCCCTCTGAGATTCTTATAAATTGTGTTGGTAGAATGAGATCTTCTGTCAAATATCTCAAGCAGTTCAAGAAACAATTATGAGGAAAAGCAACGGACTGGAGACTGGAGAGAGACACAGGACTGTAAAACTTTGATGCAGAGACAAGGTAGAAAACAACCTCAAAACCACATCTGAGATGACAGCAAATCATTTATTCCTAAGCCTTGACTACCTGCTTGTGACAAGTGGTCATGGTCAGAGGGAACTGATAAAGTAGTAAACTGAACACAACTGTACAAAAACATACAGCATTTTGCTCTAGACGTTCAAAGTTCTTCTGTCCTCATAACAGTCGAATTTTTAGAAAGAGTGAAAATATGCTTTTATTGAACTTGTCAGTTCATAAGAACTCACGAGAAACACGGCATCCCATTTTACATATAAACAGTTAATATCTCCATCATGTTTTATGCATTTCCTTTTGCCTCAAAATATTGTTTAACTTTACCCATCACCTATTAATTATTCCTCTCTAAGCAAACACGTTAGGTGTTCTGAGCAGTTCTCCTGCCATTCTCTTACCTTATTACATATAAAAATATTTGCTTTTAAAAATTGTTTCCCAATCCTCCTTTAAAAACAGAAGAGATCAAGCAAATTGTCTGCAGCTCAAGCAGACAAAGCTGCAGTAGCTTTAAAAAAAACTACCTCAAGTACTAAAAACATAAATACTTATTCAGCAGGAAAAAATTTGCAGTCAATACTGAAAATTAAATGTTACCCAAATCTTTCAAAAGGAGGAACCATTAAATAAAAATAATGTACCTCATAAATACACTTTCAAAATAAAATAAACAAGAAAGTTATCAAAGTATGTGGTTATAATACTGTGACATTAATGTCTTTAACCTTTCTTATTAGTACCTCTTTAACTTATTACCTAAGATCCTAAGGCAAGTGGAATTGGGAAAGAAAGATGTGAGCATTGGGCTCTTCCACTATTCTATTTGTCTGATATTAAGGAGAAAGTAGATCAACTGTATTCTGAAGTTGCCTAGTTCCCATTGTCAGAAAATTAATCTTCCACAAGTGTTCCTCGTAAGTCAAAAGACTGTGAAAACTAACAGAAATATTTTGGAAAAATAGACAACCGGATCCCATCAGACTTGCAATCAGTACCAACTTCATACAACTGTTTTTGGCTTCTTGATTTTATTTTCTCCAAAATGTTTGAGTATTTCTCCACTATATGCTCTGAGCATAGACACTCATCTACAACATTCAAAGTCGTTCACAATGAATCCCTTTTGAGAATCTGAATTCTTCAGAATCTGAAGAAGAGTTGAAATTCTGCTATCCTCACTCATGTGAGGACACCCAGTGGCTTTTGTGGGACTGCTAACATAAGCAAATAGAACATGGTCTAGGGCCACAGTATACTTCTAACTTTAGTTAAGACCACATCTCAAGCAGTGTTTTTTGTAGTTGTAGGTGTGCTTTATTTAATCAAATTATGTCTTAATTTAGACAGAGCCTTTAATTCAAATCAGTGAGTCATAGTTTGAGGGAAGAGTTCAAAGAAAAAAAAGAGGTTACTGGCTACAAAGGCACCCACAATACTCAGAAGAAGCACTTCAGAAGCAGCTCTAAATTTTGTGTACTGTGTTCTCCATCCAATTCTTCATATGTCCTTTCTGGAAAGATAACAGCAATTCTACATTCAGAAGCTGAACACTGGTGAAAGGTCCGGAAGTCACTGGAAATCTTGAGAGCAATCCCTATCAAAAGATGCAGCACCAACAGGAGAAAATAGACTTGCCTGTACTACCCTGAAATTTCACTTGCATCCTAAATAGCCAAACAGTATCACTGTTCTGTTTTCATAGTACAGCTGAATATCACTTATTTAGCTGACAAATGCTATTATCTTAGTATTTCCTAAAAGATATTGGATCCAATCCCCAGGTTCTTTGGAGCTATGAGAAGATACTAGTGAAATACACAGACGGGTCAAAGAAAATAACGTAGGAAATAATGCTTTACATTCTTATTTAACTCGGTGAGGAAAAACGATACCAGTTTAAACTGTACTGTGTTTAACCAGTACTTCTACAGGAAGGCTTTACAATCTCCATGTAGAAAGAGAACAACAGAGATAAGAATCACATAACTGAAAGGCAAATGTCTAGACTTTGGCCCCAGTTTGTTTTATTTTAGTATAGTTATTGCATAATTGCTTACAAGGATCTTTTGGGTTCTCACAGCTTCAAGATTTATATCACCCTAGTTAGCTAGCAACGTACAAGATATGTAAGGCCCATAAAAAGCTGATAAAAACCAAGAACAAAATACAATGCTGAAAAAAAGTTGATTATTTGTGGACACTATTGGACACAACTATTGTCACTACTTCGACTCTATGTTAGTGACACCATTACTTAACAAGTGTTTCACAGCACAGAAATGGCAAGCTTATTCTTACAGCAATCTTAACTTCCAAAAGGGAATTCAATGCCCTTTCCTCTCACAACTCATATGTAAGCCACATTACGTGAATCCCAGGTGGAGAAATGTATAGTGTAGAGATCATGAACAAAATGTTTAAG